ATATATATATATATGAGTGTAAAATACATATTACACTTTCTTGAGATGTGGATATATATATATATAATTTTTTTTATTTATTTGCAAAAAACTGAGATTTAATGTTTGGTTTATTGAGCATCAGCAGCCATAAATATATATATTTTTCTCATTGCAGGAATCCTTCTCATGCTTGATTCTTTCTGTATTTGTGATATTGTGTCTGCCGCTGTCAGCCACATCTCATTTTCCTTCCCAGAATGCAACAGGTACTGAAGTACACTTTATAGGTCCAGTTAGTATTGCTCTGGGTAGCAAAAAAAAGAATGAACTTTTGAAGTTTTTAGCTGCTTACTTTCTATATAGTACAACTGTCAGAGTTACATATAAAGTTCACAATAAATCATTTGAATTCCATTATTGCATTTTTGTCAATTCAAATATCAAAAGTGAATGGCAGGTTTTGAAGTGAAATGTTTTGTGGTGTTTTTCAGTGTATTTGGGATCTAGTTTCATTCAGGAAGCTTTACGCAGAGCCAGAGAGCTGACAGACGCCGCGTATGCTCACACCAATGAGAGGTGAGACATACAGACTTTAGTCAAAGTCAAAGCTCATTTGATTGAAGTATTAACCAAGCAAGTCAATAAAGGAAAATAGAGACAAAAACAGACCCAAATGAGTCAGTAGTTGTCCTACAGTAAGGCTATAGAGCAATAAAATTATTTACTTCCTGTTCTATATTTTGTGTTCGCTCTCTCATTTTTCTATCAGAGTGAAGACGTCCGTTTCAGATGGTTCTGTCCGACCCAGTGACCTGCTGGCCTTGTTCAAACAAACCGGCCCGAAAACCAGAAGCCACATCACATCCGCCGAGTTTCTGGATAATACTGTAGAGCTGATCAGAGAGATGGTTTACACACACTCCATGGACAAACCCGACCTCACCGGTACGCACTCATACATTTGGGTAATTTACAAGTACATGTATGTCTCTGAAGTCATATCAACATCAGATGTGTGCATTTCAGAGCTTTTAAGTGCAGAAGATATGGAGACCATACTGCAGGTAACAGGCTGTTCCTCAGAGACGCTGAGACACGTGTGTAAATCTGACTGTGTGTCCAAACGCTACCGTACCATCACAGGACACTGCAACAACAGGTACATGCACATATGTGACCCTGGAGCACAAAAGCAGTCTTAAGTCGCTGGGGTATATTTGTAGCAATAGCCAACAATACATTGTATGGGTCAAAATTATCGATTTTTCTTTTATGCCAAAAATCATTAGGATATTAAGTAAAGATCATGTTCCATGAAGATATTTTGTAAATTTCCTACCGTAAATATATCAAAACTTAATTTTTGATTAGTAATATGCATTGCTAAGAACTTCAACTTTAAAGGAGATTTTCTCAATATTTAGATTTTTTTTGCACCCTCAGATTCGTTTTTCAAATAGTTGTATCTCTGCCAAATATTGTCCTATCCTAACAAACCATACATCAATGAAAGCTCATTTATTCATCTTTCAGATGATGTATACATCTCAATTTCGAAAAATTGACCCTTATGACTGGTTTTGTGGTTCAGGGTCACATATTTGATATTTGGTACACATCAAAATATATCATCATTCATTCAGTTTCCGTTCTCAAATAGCATCATGTTTGCTTTTATCAGTGCTGTTTTTGACTTTGCAGAGAAAACCCTCAATGGGGGGCGGCAAACACCCCTTACGCCCGCTGGTTGTCGCCGGAGTACGAGGACCCTCGAGGGGCCCCCAGGGGCTGGAACCCACAGCACACCTACCACAACCACACACTACCACCTGTAAGAGTGCAGGACAGTCTGAGAAATACAGATGGAGGTTTAATTATTAGTCTGTAAACATAATTAGGTTTTTTTGGTCTTTATAGAAATGTTATTGAATTTCTTCCTAAATTTTAAATTTAGTGTGCTTTATTAGCCTGACAAAACATTTACATTCATATTGTTAAAGTGTTTGGACATCATGAGAAATTGTGTATTATAGTACATGCTACACACAATGGGAAATGCTGCTAAAAAAGGTAAAAAAAAAAAAAAGAGAGAGAAATTACATTATTATTATTATTATTTAAATAAAATAAAAAACGAAATGATTCAAATAATAGAATTAATTATAAAAACGAATTTAAATAATATTAAAGACTCAAATAATCCTAGCCCAACAATATACAATTAAACTCATTTATTTTATTAATAATAATTGAAATTTAATTTAATATGCAACTTACTATGCAATCAATAAATTTAATAAAAAGGAATTAGTTAAAGAAGTAACCTTGATAAAACAAGTAGTTGAAAAGCGAAGTGTGTATTTTTTGAAATTGCAATATTGGCTCAGCCATGGCAGAGATTTTTTTGCAGTGTTATTTCAGTCTTATTTTGAATCAATATTTTGAATTAGCTTTCATTTTCATACTTTTCGGGTTTCCTTTTAATTTCATTTTAGTTAAGTTTTAGCCATTTTGTTATTGCCTTTTGTTATTTTTATAAATGTTTTCAGTTTTACTTCAACTTAAACTTATTTCCAAGGTAACTTTAAATTTTTTTAAGTATTATTTTATTTTATTTTAATTAACAAAAGCAGTTTTTAATAGTTTTATTTAACAATTGCAACACTGGTGCTTAGAACTTTGAAAATAGTAACTTTTTGCAGTTCTGTTTGGTGCCACCAGTGGCGTAAAAATACACTACACACTTAAAAGTAAGGCTCCAAAAGGGGGTTTTCACAGTCGTGTGTGTGTGTGTGTGTGTGTGTGTGTGTGTGTGTGAAGAAAATTTTCTGGAACGTACAGGTTCCAAGGATGTTAAAGGTTCTTCATGGAACCACAGAGGCCAATAAAGAACCTTTATTTTTAAGTGTCACTAAACTAAAGACACAAATAAGACCAAATGAGCCGATAATGGTAACAAACAGAAGTTTAGTCTTCCAGACTCAATCAGATCATAATCTCTCTTTCCAGGTCCGCAGTGTGTCGCAGGAGGTTTTGTACACTCATAATGAGAACATCTCTCTGGACATGTCTCTGTCTCATCTGCTGGTGGAGTGGGGTCAGTGGATCGATCATGACCTGACCTTGACCCCTCAGAGCCCCAGCACCGCGGCCTTTAAGACCGGAGCGGACTGCACACGCACCTGCAGCAGAGACACGCCATGTTTCCCGATACAGGTGCGTGTTACACCCTGAAAACCAGGGCCGGATTTACGCATAGGCATTCTAGGCACGTGCCTATGCTTGCTCATCCAGCCCAAACACAATGAAGAGATATATAATATTTTTCTTATACTATGGGATATCTACAACAGTAAAAGATCCAAAACCCCAGAAAACATTGAGCAAATAAATATAACAAACATTAGGGTAAAAATGACAAACTATTTCCACGTCTTCCACCTTTTTTATGTATGGAAATCACGCTTTCCTATGATCCTCTCTCACAGACACACATGCACTCGAGCGGAGACGCAGACAGAAAGTTGTCGTCAACGCCGCCCCGCGAATTTATCAATGAAATAGTTTTGCAGCTGAAAAGCTACATGACATTTTTCAGTAGCGAAGTTCTTGAAGCAGTTTAACTTAAAGATTCGCTATTAGTAGATGCTGCTGCTGAACACTGCTGAGAGACGCACAGACGCAGGTATTCACACGTGCTTAATATCTCTCTTTCTCTCTCTAATAACTGCATTAATAACTGCGTTAGCCTGCATATCAATGGCTCAAGCCTCTGTTATTAGCTCTAAAATTACGTTTTGGAATTTTAAATGGAAGGTTTGGGATGAATTGCGTAAAAAATAGTCAGGATGGAAACGTGTCAAATGTCTTGAAACAAATCACCTGAACAATGTCTTGATGTGTGGTTGTGACTCCTGGCCGTTAAAATTATTAGAGAAATTACTCCCGAAGTGGTATGCCACGCCTATTAATGGAAATGAATCAAACAAATTAAGAACTACATTCGATTCGATTTTTATTGACTGAACGCAAGTGCTTATTGCGATAGAAAGCACTGTAACGGTTTCCACTGATTAAGAAAAATTGTAGTTTGCTTGGGTTGGTAATATTAGGCCTATTATATTAATAGGGAAGGGGGGCCCAAAAATTAGTTTTGCCTATGTCACAAAAAGAAGTAAATCCGGCCCTGATGAAAACAGATGCCAGATCGTACACACTCTGAACATCTGGCTCTTTTTCTCCGCGTTCAGATCCCTCTGTCTGACCCTCGCACTGGGACTCAAAGCTGCATGCCGTTTTTCCGCTCTGCTCCCAGCTGTACGGTTTCACTCGGTCACCGGGAGCAGCTGAACGCCATCACGGCATTCGTGGATGCCAATATGGTGTACGGAAGCTCGGATGGGCTGGCTGCCACCCTGCGAAACCTCTCGTCCCCTCTCGGCCTGCTCGCCGTCAACCAGTTCCACTCAGACCAAGGGCTCGGCTTCATGCCCTTCCTGAGCCGCACGCAGCTGAACCTGGATCCCTGCGGCCCACGAGAGCGGATCGACCCCATCCCGCTACCAGAGACAGTGCAAAGACTCAACACATCCTTGGGGAATAGATCGTTCTGTTTCCAAGCAGGTTGTAGGCATTTTTCTGAGTATTCGTTGTGAGCATTCGCAACCCATTTTTCTTCCATAATCACTTTAAATACTTGTCACTTTCACAACCCTTGCTTTTTGTCTTATACGCCATTCAAACAAACCATCCACATTGAAATCAGTGGGTTTTCAGCATCCTCTGATAAAGCAGAAACTCTAGTACGAAACGTAAACAATGTAAAATTCTTAAATAATCAACCTGTAATGATAGTATTACTAGCTGTTTTAGTTGGTTTGTTTATTTATCTTCATGCAATTGATTTACCTCCCTCAATTTCAGTTAAATTCAGTTTGCTGTATTAGTCTGACAAAAGCACGTGCATTTATATTGCTAAAGCATTTGTATACAATGACAAATGTTATATTATAATACATACTACATACGATGAGAAATGGTGCAAAATAGATAAATAAAAGTAAAACATTTCAAAGCAAGTAAATATTATTATTATCATTATTAAATCAATAAATAAAATGATTAAATAATTCAAATAATTACAAAAATTATTGCAATTAAATAATTACAAGAATTACAATTAAATTAAGTTCTAGAGCAATAATAAATAAGTTTGTGTATAAGTGTTTTGTCTAGTTATGCGAAGAACCACTGTAGTCATAACTAATTGCCTCAATGAGATTTATAAAGCTTTAAACAAAACTACATGCAATAAGAAGTGGTGCATATTAGGTAAAAAAAAAAGTGAAATAACACTTTCAAAAAAATTAAGTAAATGTTGTTATTTAAACAGTTAAAATAAATACACAACAAATAAATAATGCAATTAATCCTATTTTATTTATTTATTTTGTTGCTGATTTATAATATTGCTGATATTGCTAATATTTTTATTTAATGTTGACTTTAAAGGTATTAAAGATACAACACCCTATAAAGAAAAGGAAAATAAATCAATATTTGTGTCATTTTATGTGTCAGCTAGGCCTTCACCCTGATGCTTTCTGATTTAAACTGGCCAGTTGATGTGCTGTTTTTGTGGGCGTGTCTCAGGTGATTCTCGGGCCAATGAGCACTTGGGTATGATCGCTCTGCACACGCTCTTTCTGAGAGAACACAACCGATTGGCTGAGGAGCTTCACAAGCTCAACCCTCACTGGAGCCCAGACACGCTGTACCAGGAGGCCAGGAAAATACTGGGCGCAGTCCACCAGGTGAGGAGATAAAAAGTGACACCAAAAGTAATAAAATAAAGCAATAAGCCCCGTGAAGCCGTGGTTTACAGTGAATTTATAACAGCTAAGGGGCGTTGTTACATAGTACGACGCGAAGCGGAGTAAACTCCCTTAGCTGTTATAAATTCACTGTAAACCACGGCTTCACAGGGCTTATTGCTTTTATAACACGGTTATTCCATACACGTAGTACGGTTTCACAGAATAAAACAGTGCAAATAAAGTGTAATGATATTAATAAAAACAGTATTCTTCCACCAAACAATGTAGTTCCTCAGAAACAGTTGTGGTTGCAACAAAGTGGTTGCCGAGCAGCACACAGAAGTAGACAAAGGTGTATGTTACTTTGTAGAGTAATTTACAACAGCTTCGAAGGCGGCTCAGCCAATCAGAATCAAGCACCGGAACTCTCTGTTTTATAAGTTTACTGTATTTATGCATGTCTCTGATTTGCTGAATCTTGTTTGGAAGATCTTGACATGGGATCACTACTTGCCCCGCGTCCTGGGACGCAGTGCTAACCTGGCCCACATGCCCCCGTACAAAGGTTACGACCCCGCCGCTGACCCCAGCATCTCCAACATTTTCTCCACCGCTGCCTTTCGGTTTGCACATGTGACCGTGCATCCGGTGGTGAACCGCCTCGGACCCGATTACCGGTTGAGCCCTGAGCACCCAGCTCTGCCGTTACACCACTCTTTGTTTGCATCCTGGAGGGTCGTGCAAGAGGGTTTGTTTCTCACACACACACACACACACACACACACACACACTTGAGGCAAGACACCACAGGTGAATAGAGTAAGAAATTACGCAAATAAAATCATCATACTTCTCCTGCTGATTAATCTCAGTCCTTTAAGACAACCGTTTTGTACTACAAGTTCTCTGAAATGTTTAAATATCCAAATGAAGCATTGTTTAATTAAATGTGCACTTATTTGCATACATTTCCAGAACATAAATCTCAACATTAGATAAAGCCAGGGTTAATTGTTGTTTCATTTTGTTGGCATATAAGGTTTTTACAGATGGATTTTAGATTTCTCTTTTTATCTATCGGAAGATACTGTCAACAGCACAAAAAAATAAACAAATAAAATAAAATGTTAAATATATAAATTTGGTGAATGATATATGAACAAATCCCTCTGTAAAAACCTCCACAATATAGATAGAAATAAATGTTTGGTGTATAAACTAACAATTTTGAGTTTATATCTTTCATTTATATCTTTATTGCCACAGAATAAATAATAAAAAAGTAATTGACTTTATCTCGCAATTCTAACTTTTTCTTGCCATTGCAAATTAATATCTCATATTTCTGACTTTTTTTCTCAGAATTGTGAGATAGAAACTCAGAATTGCGAGAAAAAAAGTCAGAATTGTGAGATAAAAAGATGCAATTACATTTCGTATTCCATGTCGGAAATGGGTTTCCTTAAATTTCTGGCTCAGTGCAGGAAAAAAAATAAAAATAAATCAAGGGTGTAGAATTTAGTAGGGACGCTCGTGTCATGTCTCTACCAATATCCAGTGACTACTAAATTGTCTCAGAATCAGTTAAACCATTGGGTCGCAAAATGATTCACTGTTTTGAAGCACTCCAATCGGAGCATGTATAGCGTATCATTTGATTCAGATCAGGACTTTGGAGCACATATTAATATTCATTATTTTGCATGCCCGTTTACTCAGCAGCATCGCGTTATGATGCATGATGAATGTTTTTCTGTGTGTAGGTGGCATCGATCCTGTGCTGCGTGGTTTGCTGTTGTCCCCGGCTAAACTGCAGACAGCAGATCAGATGATGGTGGAGGAACTGACCGAGAGGCTCTTCCAGGCTCAGGGAGGGCTGCCGCTGGACCTGGCTGCGTTAAACCTGCAGAGGGGACGAGACCATGGCCTACAAGGTGCCAGTCAGCAGATATGCTTTATTATGTTTATTTTTTTTTAATCTAATTTTTATGTTTTTTAAGGCAGCTCACTTATTTATTATTATTTTTTTTTTCTTTATTGGTAAAGATTCAGTTATAACTTATAACAAAAAATTGCAACTTGTAACAAAAAATTAAAATAATAACATGACAATTTATTTATTTATTTATTTGAAACTTGCAAGCCATTTTTTGTTTATTTGATTGTTAATATTTTTTATGTTTATGAAGGCAGCTCACTTATTTATTTTTTTCTTAATTGGTAAAGATTCAGTTACAACTTATAACAAAAAAATTGCAAATTACAACAAATAATTACAATAATAATAACATTACATAAGAATTTAGTTATCTATTTATTTGAAACTTGCAATCCATTTTTTGTTTATTTGATTATTAATTTTGTTTATGTTTATGAATGCAGCTTGCTTATTGTTTGTTTTATAAACACCTATTTCATCTTTTTTTTTCTTTATTAGGAAAGATTCAGTTACAACTTATTAAAACTCCTGTCATGTTTACACTTAGAAAAATATAAAAATGTGCAAAAAAAACCCCCAAAAAGCAATAACTTAAACATAAGAAGATAAATATCCACATCATTTAAAAAATATTTATTTACTTACTTGCTTTGATCTAAAGTCAAACTCATAAATGAGTTTCCTGACATTATCTCTCTCCTTATTTAGAACGGTTTACTTATAGTTTGCTAATTTTATTTCCTAATATTGTGCTAATTTTACTTTACCTTAACCTGAGAATGTCACACTAGAGTAACCTAAAAATATTACAATAATAACTTGACATTATTTATCTTTTAAATTTCAAACCATGAATATCATGAATGAAATACTTAATAATATTTAATAATAATGAAAGTATTTATTTCACTCTCTCTGCAGGTTACAGTGCGTGGCGGGAGCTCTGCGGTCTCTTTGCACCTGCGAATGAGTCTGATTTAGCAGGCATTCTGGGAAATGTAGTTCTGGCCAGGAAGCTGCTGCATCTCTATGGAACAGCTAAGAACATAGACGTGTGGGTTGGGGCCATTTCAGAGCCGGCTCTGCCTGGGGGCCGCGTGGGGCCCCTGCTGGCCTGCCTGATCGCCAAACAGTTCAAAGCGCTCCGAGACGGTGACAGGTAATGTGATTCACTTCCTTTTATTATTATTTAGTTTGAGACAGTGTTGAGTTATTTCAATGTGGCATGATATGAAGTACATAATTAAATGTGGTTTAGGTTCTGGTGGCAGAATGAAGGTGTGTTCAGCTCGGCTCAGAGAGACGCTCTGCGCACCACATCTCTGTCCCGCATCATCTGTGACAACACACACATCCGGCTGGTGCCCTTTGACCCCTTCGCGCGCACACTCCACCCCGACGACCTGCTACCCTGCACACGCATCGGCCACATGAACCTCTCAGCGTGGAGAGAGCCAGACACCGGTATTAGCGACCGAAAGGATGAAAACAATCATATAATAATTTTATTTTATGTGGGTTACTCATATTGTCCCAATATTTGGGTGTCATTTTCAGACCCGGTGTGTGGCGCGGTCCCGCGGTCGAATCTGGGTTTCTCTGTGCTGTGTGAATCTGCGGTGATGTATCAGTGTCCTACTGGATACCTGCTCCAGGGAGCCACACAAATCACCTGTGACCCCAACACCCACCAGTGGACCCCACAAACGCCCACATGCCAAGGTTAAATAAAAAAATAATAATTTTTTAAATATTAAAATAATATCACATTAAGTATTACATAATAAATGTCAAATACCATTAGATTAGATATTAAATTGCATAGTAAATATTAATTATACAGTAGTAATAAATTAATATTAAATATTAAATAAAATTATTAAAATCAAATCAAATTTAATTAAATATTAAATTAATTTGGGAAATTGAGTGATCCATCTGACACCCAGTTTATAAAAACAATATTTTTATTGGTTATATCAATTATTGCTGAATGTTCCACTTATTTGTTTTCGATATTTGAACATTTATGTACATTTTTAAATTAAATATTAAATATTACATGTAAATAACAGATTAAATATTAAAGATTAATGACACAATATTAAACAACTAATATTAAATATTGAATACAATTAAAGATTCAAGTCGAATTAAATTAAGTATTAAATTAAATTTGGAGATTGACTGGTCCATCAGACACCCAATTTATTAAAACAATGTTTTTTTGGGGGGGTTATTTTAAATATTGATGAATGTTCCACTTATTTCTTTTGAACATTCATGTACATTTTTAAACTAAACTAAATAATAAATATCAAATATTACATCAAATATTAAATGTAAAATAAATTAGATTAAATATAAAATGTATTAGTAAATATTAATGATAATATTAAACAATTAAATATTAAATTAATTAATTTAAATATTTATTAGTAAATAAATAAAGTATAGAACTATGCATTTGTTTTATTTTAAATATTGATGAATGTTCCATTCAAATAAAATAAAATAAATAGAATTAAATACTACATATAAAATAACATTATATTAAATATTAAATTAAATGGTAGAAACCTTTAAACACAAATATAAACACCACTTTAAGAGCACAAGTAAATGCAGTCAAATACAAAACAGGTTTTAGCGCACACAGGATTTAAATGCTGGTGCAGCCAACAGTTTGCCGCAACATTAATGATAAAATATCAAACCGTTAATATTAATTATTAAATAAAATGAAGTATTAAATAAGATCAGGTCAAATTAATTTAAATGAAATTTTGAAATTTACTGATCCATCTGACACCCAATTTATTAAAAATGTGTTCATTGATATTTTCAGATATTGATGAATGTTCCACTCATCCGTCCGTCTGCCCTCCACACCTGCAGTGCTTGAACACACCTGGAGGACACACCTGCACAGGTGAGCAGTAACCAGCAGCTTCCTCAATCCATGGCATATTAATCGCATAAATAAATGAGCGATTATTTGTTGTATATACAGAACCTGCAGCTCCGCCCCTTTCCGCCTCCTCCATTGTTGCGTCAGTGATGTCAGTCCTAGGGGGCGTGGCTTTGATAGTGCTCTTCCTCGCCTGCTACCAAAGGTGTGTTACAATCTCCACTTCAGGCTGCTGTTTTGTATGAGTAAACGTACCATACTTATAGCATGAATGTCAATCCTGCAGATTTTTCCTTTGGAAAGCCGAGCCGGTGAAGGTGGAATGCTGTCGGAGAAGAAGCTGAGATGGATTCAAGGGGAAACTGGTTTGGAAAACGTGCAGATTTTGGTCCTAGATGGTCTGTGTTTACATGTTTCATAACCACAGTCTCATTTCACACCACTCGACCTGAAACACCGGACGGAAACACATTAATGAAACGTGTGTGAACATGAATGGAAGCATTTTAACATTTCTCCCAGTGTTCTCGCCCTTCAGAAAAGCCTTTGTTTGTGATAAATGTGCTGTCGGCTCAAAAATCATGTACAAAAATCCTTGCCATAATACTTTAGCCTTGTTAGCCTAAAAGGTCAGTAAGATTTTTTATTTTTTTTTAAAGAAATTTATATTTTTTTCAGCGAGGATGCATTAAATGTATCAAAAGTGAGAGTAAAGACATGTTATAATGTTACAAAAGATTTCAATTTCAAATTAATGCTGTTCTTTTTAACTTTCTATTCATCAAAGAATCCTGAAAAAAAAGTATTCATTATTCACAAAACAAAACTGAGTCACAAATGTATATTCTGAAGATGCTTTTAATGGAGTTTAAAGGTCATTTTTAACATGAAGAAGCTGTTTAACTAAAGCAACAGACCTGAGGGTAGACGTCATATTTAATGTGTCACGAATGAAAACAAGGCTGACAAATTTAACAATATATTTCCAAAACATTTCCAGTTGAAAAAAGACAAAACCACCTATTGATGACATGTTTTCACTCTCATCAAATTAAATATGATATGTAAACACTGTATTCGTGCCGTAAGACAGCGATTGTCAGTCATGCAACAGTTATTATCTATAATACGGAGTGCGATGCATCATGGTACAAGGCCTGTGATAAATGTGCTGTCGGCTCAAAAATCATGTACAAAAATCCTTGCCATAATACTTTAGCCTTGTTAGCCTAAAAGGTCAGTAAGATTTTTTATTTTTTTATTTATTATAAGAAATTAATATTTTTTTCAGCGAGGATGCATTAAATGTATCAAAAGTGAGAGTAAAGACATGTTATAATGTTACAAAAGATTTCAATTTCAAATTAATGCTGTTCTTTTTAACTTTCTATTCATCAAAGAATCCTGAAAAAAAAGTTTCCACAGAAATATGAAGCAACACAACTGTTTTCAACACTGATAATAATAATAATGTTTCTCGAGCTGCAAATCATCGTATTAGAATGATTTCTGGAGGATCATGTGACACTGAAGAC